CAGCCTTTCTTGTTTATGTCTTGTACTCTCCCATTTTGCATGGGTATCCCAGCCCGAATTCCAAGGAGTTCTGCCTCTCTCAGTCCCTCTATAGGGTTTCATTTGGCTCTAGCAGCCTTCCTTCCTTCCTGATCTGCACTGCTGCTCATGCTGTCCCTGTTGTAATCCACCATATGGCTGTGCTTAATCATTACCTTGGTTGGGTGACCTTAAGTATCACTTGGGATTCTTTAGCAGGAAAGGTTTTGTAGAAATGTGAGCACAGACTCTCCCTTTCTCAGTAAGACTGTATTCAGTATAACATACACAAGGTCTCACCACAAGCTGCAGTTCACAGCCATGTGCTTCTTCTTGCTAGTTTTAAAAAATGAGGAAAAGCAGAATATTTTATTGATTTATTGTCACAAACCTGTCCTGCTATGTGAGACAGTTTTTGACAAGAGATTTTAATTTTTTCTCTGTTGAAATGCTGAGATGCAGAATCTGCAGTCTATTCTGCAGTAGTTCTAGTTGCACTTCTAAATGCAGTGTGGTTTAGAAATAGAAGAGCAGGCACGCTGCTGCAGTTTTAGATGATGAGCTGCAAAAAACAACTTAGCTCATCAGAGATATTTGTTCTTGCTTCTGCTTACTACTAATGCACTCCTGAACTACCACCAGCGTTGTAGCTGTCCTGAAAGTGCCCCTATGGACGCAGGTTCTGTATATTAATGATATACTGTTAAATCTGAGCTGCCACCAGCTGTGAGTAGCTGGTCCTGGAATATGCCTGTGGATTCCCTGTTGAAAAAGTTTTATGCTAAGACGAGCACAAAATAATGATGACATTGCTGTATTTTACTAATAGGGTAACTCTGTTGGTAGTAGCTGTATCACAGTATCATTTGTAATTTAATACATCTCCCACCACCACAGTTCTCCTCCACTCCTCTTAAACTGCTGGCAGTGGTTCTCTATCCTAGCTCCCACATTTCTCTGGAATGTTTTACTAATTCTTGGAATGGTCCCTTAGTGATACGAAAACATTAGTCAAAATTTAATTGAGAACATTTCATACTTGTGAAATAAATAAACTATGCCCAGCTTTGAGTGGGAAAATCTGATAATAAGCATACAAATCCCACAAAATATTGCATACAGTAGAAGTGCACCAGTTTGGAACTTATTTTCTAGCCAGCAGTTATACACCACTCTTTATATGACCTGATTTATTCTTAATTTGAAAAATAATTTACAGGTTAAATACAGGGATAAAGGAAACAGAAGTGTCCATTAGTGACTGAAAGACTTACACTTCAGTGTGTCTTAGCGTAGCTTTGAATTTCTCTGGTCATTCTAGACCTTTGGCTGAGCTCCATGTACAACAGCCTGGGATTGGTGCTTGGGACATCTGTTAATCTATATATAGGATTCACACACTTGCACATGTAAACAGGTGATCTCCTAAATATATGAAATGGCATTGGGAACTCCAAGTACTTAGTTAAGCCAAAATGTATTTAGGAGTGAACTGAAATAATCCTTTTTCCTCTCCTCCCTGCCACAAAAATAAGCTGTATTTGAAAAAAAAAGGTACTTTTGGTCTGATTATAACTTGTGCTTAATACTTATGTATATACATTCATAAATCCCAGGAATTAATTAGTGCTTATGAAAAGGGTCCTGAAAATTACATTTTTTCTGTTCTCCAGTTTAGTTCTCTTGATGGTTGCTAGTTTCTTGCTGTGAAGGGACATAGGGTTTAAAAATAAAAGGTGCATATAATGGGCAGAGAAAAATGGGTAGTAGATGGTAACTAATAAAGAAATAAGATATATTTAGAAAATTCATAAGGGAGACTAAAGTCAGGAGGGGAATTTTAAGTCATTTGCTGAAGTTTCTAGTAGTCTGACTGAGAGTAATTTTTAATAAATCTGGGAACAGCAGGGAGAGCAAAAGACCAATAACATTTTGCATCATTGCTGACAAAGGGTGAGTAAAGAGTGGCTCATCTGCTGTCAGTACCAGGAAAAAAACTATGGAAAATTTGATCAAGAATTTAGGTGGTATAAGAATAGCAGCATAATCTCACTGATCAGCTTTTCAGTTTGTGAAAACAAATGCTCAAATGTGATTCTGTCATTTGGATAAGTGAAATTGGGTTGCTAGGGGTTTTTTTCTAGGTGCAACAGACTTTTATAACATCTTGAACTTAGTAGCATGGTGTATTTTGGTTTTAAGAAGTACATTTGAATTTAATGAAGTACTCCTTAATTGGATTAAGAGCTGATCGTAATCATAGAAAACAGAAAAGTATTTCTGGTTGAGATCAGCCTGGTGCAGTCTGGAAACACATGCAAGAGGTTGTAACAGTATGGACAGAACAAATACTAGTGGATGAATGAATTGTGACATTAAAAAAAGTAGTTTAGATAATTTATGCAAACTGAGACCATTGAGCAAAATTCACATTAATACGGCTGACAATACAGGTGTGCACCCAGGAGCAAAACATGCCAGCCACACCTGTGTGGGGGAGTTTTTTGCTGAAAATCCTGGGCTGGGAGGTGAAAGGGAAATCGTAGGTGTGGTTAGAAATGTGAGGGAAGGTAGATGGTTGTAGCAAGTGGCAGAAAGGGCTAACATACATTACTAGATGTGTAAATAAAAGACACGAGTAAAAATAAGATTATCTGCTGGGGAGATGGACCTGATGCTATAGGTCTGTGCCTTTCCTGTATACGTGTAGTAAGATGTGCTAATTTAGGGCATGGATATGAGTCCCTAAACAGCTCAGTAGGGGAAGTAATGCCATGCAGTGAGAGATTTAATGGGCTGCTCCTAATGGGGCAGAAATCACTTAGTGGCAATGTGCATGGAAGGATGAAGTCCAATTCCCACCTTCAGTGCTGGTGAATCCCTGAGGTCCTGGTTGTTCCACTACAGCTCCTGGCTATGTGTTCATCCTCTTCAACTCATTAATGCAAAAACTGGTGCCTGTTTTGACTGGGCTGTGGTCTCTGTTGTGAGTCCAGCCAGCAGTCAAGAGGACGTGAGAGATGATGGGGGGAGTGAGAGATTTGACACTGTCTCTCTCAGCGAGGTATTAGATCGTGTAGATTTGGGTTTTGATAACCTCAGAAGGAATCCAGCAAATGAGAAGCTCTTTGAGCAGGCTGGCTGTGAGCTGTGCTAGCCCTCACAGCAGCACAGAAGTAGGAGTGCGATGTCACACTGGCTGGGAGGAAGAGTCTGGAACTATCACTTCTGTTTGCAGTTTCACAGGCAGATGAAGGCGTGTTCCTTCCCCTCTGTGTTCCCTCCTCCTCCTTCTGGCTCTTGGCTGATCCCACACAGAATTACCATGGTGCTCTGTACATCCTCCTCCCCTCTCTCACTTCCATGTACTAAAAGAAAGTAGTTTCCTGCACAGGATGCATATATTAAGAAATTATGGTTTGTCTTAAGAAACAGAAGAGAGGTGACTTGTTTGCACACTGTGTGCACAGAGGTATTTCCACTGGGAGGAGGTACTCCTCTCACTGTCATAAATAGTTTCAGAGAAAGGTACATCAAGAGTCAATGTCAAAGTAGAAGCCAGAAAAATCCAAGAAGAAAATTAAATGTGATTTAAGTGAGGGTGATTAGGTGCTATGGAAACAACCACAGAAAGGAAGAGATGGATCTCTTTTTTTATACATATACAATGACCAGAACCCATATTGGAAGGTGTATCTTAGTCAAATGTAAACTGCAGAAAGGAGGTTGAAAGAAACTGATAAAATGTCATGATGTCTGTAAGTAGACAAAGTGGCATCTTCTTAAATTTTTTAATCTCTGCTTTAGGGAGTGTACAATACAAATTAGGATATAATGTATGAAATTAATGTACTGGACAAACAAAGTATTTAAGAAAGGAGACATAAGGGTTATAGTGAGATTATATAGTTAGACTGTAGAGCAGTTTTGCTCTATAATGGTTCCACTACATTCGTGTGGACTTTCATTATGTGGACTACGCAAAAGGCATAAAAGAAATTCAAATTAAAACAGGGGAGATGAGATGTATTGCCATTCATTTTATAATATTTTATGTTGAATATACTTACGAGTTTGGGCTTAATTGAAAATGGGATTCAGTGACAGTCAGGTTGTCCTATTTCAAGACATGTGTGACTACACATTCATGTGAATTTTTTCTTCAGTTTTTTTTTTCAGGAAAGGTTGCTTTCATATGGAAGGTGTCTTTGACTGTAAGAACAATCTGGAATGTTGCTTTGATAGTGTGGTGTAAAGGGAAGCTGCTGTTACAATCTAAATGTTGAAATGATGACTATTCCAGGGATTTGCACTAGAAAAAAACCCAGCTAATTGCATTTCACACAGTCATGAATATGTTCTGTGATGCTAAAATAAATAGGAAAAATTAGAGTGATAAGGGGATTAATTTTGTAGTGGAAGGACACTTCTACATGTATTCGTGGTATTTCGCTTTCACAAGATGTTTCTGAAGGTGAATTTCTGAGCTGAGGAAGGAAATCAGCCTTGTAATTTAGAGTAACGACCAACAATTTTGACATATCGTTTAATCTGCACATAGTAATTAGAGTTTTCAGGAGTCATTAGCAGCTGGGGTGTCACTCTGTGTTTATTGGAGGACTGTCAGCTGGTGTTTCTCTTTGTTTGTTTTTTAATATTAATGGTTTGGAAAGCAGTTGGTGCTCTAGAAAGAACTGAGAAACAGGCCTGGCTTTGTGGATTTTTATCACCCTGCCAAGACCCTGTGCAACTTCCTCTCCCCCTGGCTGCAGCAGCCTACGGAAACCTGACTGCTGGGGGCCACTTCTGCAATTGCCATTGCAGCAGGGCAGGGCAGCAGGGTGGGAGGGCGGTCTTTTCTTCTGCTGCTCACCAGTGCCTTGGCATCCAAAGAAGAAAACAAGATGCATTTGAAAATGTCTCTTCAGTTGTTTCTTGCACTGATGGGTTTCCTTCTCTCCCTTCTCTCTGCTGTCGTGCAGTGCTGCAGTTGAAGCTCCAGCAGCGACGCACACGGGAGGAGCTGGTGAGCCAAGGGATCATGCCGCGTAAGTACCACTTCAGTTCTTTGCCCTGCTGTTTTCATGCATTTTTTTTGGTGGAGAATGGTTTCCCGTATGATTTGAAAGATCGGGTTCTCGGCTTTCTGCATGGAAAACATCATGTGTGAGAGCCACACCCTGTCCCACCCAGCCTGGTCCTTCTGAAGTGGTGGTGCCACCTCCGATACTGAGCAAGAGAGCAATGGCTGCAAGTGTAACTGTGCTGCCAGGCTAGGCTTGCATTGCATCTCAGTGCACAGTCTTCTGGACAGCATACTATGTTAGAAGTGCCTTATATACTTGACCCATGCTGGTAATCACTCTTTTAACAGGCTTCCTGCCTCTGCAGTTTCTATTCTTACAGTGAGTCAGGTCCCCAGAACTCTTGAGGCACTTGTAACCTGATGTGTACATGGTCCATAAACTGACCAACACGAGGCGTGTACAAGATGTTAACCAACAAGGGACCCTCTCTTATGTTTATAGCTAGAAAACACCCAGAATGAGTCCTATGGGTATCAGCCGTTGTCCTTCTTGCAGGGAAAGGCAAAATCTGTGCAGGCAGAGAACGTTTACTTTTCTGGGTAAACAGAGAGGATCTACCCTAAAGCCAAGCTTTCACTGTCAGATTAGCGTTGGAGAAGGTATTTTTCTGTTTTGCTCTCCTCCTTCCCCCAAAGATGCAAAAAAGGTGCCTGTCAAATAGTTTTGTCATGCTTTAGTACCTCTGAACTAGATGACTTATAGGTGACAATTTGAAGCAAGACCACACAGCAAATGTTTTATTTTTGAAGTCTTCTCAGTTTCATGCAACAGCCGTAGTAAAATGTAGTGGACCTGGTATGTATTTTCTTCTTTCAAAAGCTTTCCTGCTGCCCTGTTTCAGAAGCTTTGCTTGAAGATGGTGTAGTAATCAAGATTTTCTCATTTTTTCTGTTTCTGGGGTGCACACTGTAATATGACACAGTGCTGTGACTTAGACTTTGCTGAGGGCTGAAGGTTAGACTGTCAGCTTTGTCTCTGAATGAAGAGAACCTGTCAGCAGCACTCTCTCACCTAAAGTGGTTTGCTGCATGGCAGTAATGTTCTTTATGAGGATTCTGGGACCCCTACTTAAAATTATGTTACCAAAGCAAAAAGAAAAGATTGTCCTGTGTGGATATATCATACCTGTTGTCTATTTTTTAACCTGAGGAGCTTGTACATGAGCTTCTACAAAATACACTTACTTGCTTTTGGATGAAAGACTAGTGTCCCAGTGACTGTGTCTTTTTACTAATGCTTCTCAGAAGAAAATATTCCTGACTTCTTTGTGTGGCCCTGCTTTAGGTGGATATGTATGCAAATAATTAGCTAATGTTCAGTTCTGGCTTTCTTCAAAGTGTGCCTGGCCAAACTTGTGATTCCTGAGAGGGGTCTGTTTTACAGGCCTTTTGAAAATGAGGCCCTTTCAAGTAATTCAAGTAAGGCATCCGGAATAATTAGTGAGTCTTAAATTTATTTAAAACATAGCCTAAATTACTAGGCTTTGCAGATTTGTGCCCTTCATTGCTTCATTTATATGTCTCACATGTGAATTCTGTGATGGACCAAAGAAAAACACTTTGTGAAATACCATTGTGAAAATACTGACAACACATTAAAAGGTCTTTTCTGTGATGGACAAAACCCACTTTAACACATCTGTTCTAAACATGATTTGAAATTAGTTCCTCCCAGGTAATGGTATCATTTACCCATACCTGCCAACTGGAAATAACTACACGTAGGGAAATGTTTAAAATGTAATTTGCCTGGGCCGTTTTTGAAGAGAAGATCAGATGTGAGATAAATTGTGATACTTAAAGCAAAAATCCCATTTTTAACCTGAGAAGTACAGAGGATGACTAGGGACCATGTTCCTCCAGAACACATCTCAGCACCATGACAGCTTTACTTCTACTTTCTGGAGTTCCAGAATAGACTTTTTTTTACTGCTGGAAACATGCAAGTGTCCTGTATTCTTTCTTCTCTGGTCTGTGCCTCTTGTCTGTGAAAACACTGAGGTACTTAATCTTGTTCTGCTGTCATCTGCCACTGAACATGGCTGTGCTGGACTTGTGTGTCCCTCTTGAGTTTGTTAGCCAGGAACCAAGCCCTGCAGAGTCGTTCATGATGATTTCAGCAAAAGTATGGAATCCAGGGGATGGTTTGGTGCTGAATTAAAAGAGCTGGAGTGCTCCTTCCTTGTCAGATGCCGCTTGGTTTCTTTTCTTTCCTTTATTTTCCGTCTGGAGAGTCTTAACACTCTTGAGAGAACTGTGGTGGTTGCAGTTCTATCTGCATTACAGCTTGTGTCAGGAATGTGTTTTTGAAGTGAAGCTCCTGATTGCACCTGCCTGCTGTGCCTTGCTTTGCACCATAAAATAGAGTTTGAGAGCTGGATTAAATTGGAATGAATGTAAAGTGGAAAATATTCTGCCTAGAGCTAATCTGCATTCAGCCCATGGGACCAGACTACAGCTTGTCTGGCACCACACCTCCAATTCACCTTCACATCCAGAGTGTGGATGTCACTTCCTCAGCATCGACTTTGTTTCTGTTTTGGTCTTGCTGTGCTTTCCTACATGTTCCTTTAGATTAGCCTGTGATCTGTGTCTGTGAACAGATCAGTTCCTGTATATCTGAAGGCAAACTGCCATGGAAAAATCCCTCAGCCAAGTGTGGGAGAAGTGAAAGGTTTTGTTTTACATTACAAGCTACGTAGTGGGCAAACTCTCATTGGTACCTTTCGTTCTCCTGACTTGAATCTAAACCCCACATAAGATTTATTCTGAAAATTGGAGCCTTAAAAGAGAAATTTCACTGCAGGCTTCCATCAACACGAGGGTTTTGGACGCTGTAAATATGAGGAGTGGGAGATGACATATTTATATCACCTTAAAGTGAGAGTGAAAGTCATGCTACTCCTGCTGTGCTTGTTCATAACAGAGCTGGGAATTGCTTACTTTGTCCCATGTGGAATTTTGTTTATATGGTAGAGTGGAAAGGCAAATGTTTCAACATTTTTTTACCAAGTACACTTAATCTCACTTAACCTTCCCAACCCACCAGCCACCTACATCGGAGCTTTGCTTCACTGAAAGATTAGTGTATTGTATTAAGAAATAAAGCATTTATAGGCAGTGAAAGAGGATTGAAAATAATTGTGTTTTATACTTCTTGCTTTCTGTTACCACTTTGTGTAATCTTTTACTAGCAGCAGGATTCATTAGTTCAGGATGAAAATTCTCAATTGCCCTTAGAAAAATGGTGGGAAGCAAGTCTTCACCTGCAGCTGACATACCTGTGATCTGAGCTACAATGACTGTATCTTGAAAAAAAGACAGCTGAGTTTTTATATTTATTCCAGTTTTAGCCTATTTTCTAACAGTGCAAATAGACAACCCTTTTGGTTATTTGCATTTTTTTGTAGCGATGCAAAGATGATTTTCATCTTCTTGTCCTCATAAAATACAAGTTAAACAAAATCTGCTGTCTCTTCTCAACTCTTTGAACTCTGTTGTGCTGTAGAACAGTCAGATGCTGGCTATTGTAAGGTGTTTTGGGGGAATATTAAATACTCCATTTTTCACTTTTGAAGAAAGTGTTTAAAACAGTAGCTAATGCACATCTGAGTAGAAAGTTATGTGGAAAGTATCTAACTAAAACAGCAAAAATTTTTAGGGGAAAGACATTTGGCAAATGTAGCAATACTCTGTTATGCAAAATATGTGGCTCTTTTTCTCTTTCGCAAGATTTAAAGCTTCACATGGCATTTATTTTATCCATCAGGATTGTGGTCTTTGGCTTCTGGCTGCAAACACTGAACACAGGCAAGAATGTAAGATTGTCATATGGCACAATTCTGCAGGAAAGCTGTTTTGACCATCACATCTATCCAAACAGGCAAAGCAGAAGTAGATAATTTCTGGGAATGTGCCTTGTGTTTCTCTGTAGCAGTGCTGTGTGAGTCTCTGAAAAATGACACAGGCATCCTTTGAAAAGGGCATTGCCTGGACTGAAAGCTAGAAGGAGGCTGCTGTACAGGCTGAGAATTTCCAGGAGCTTCTTTTTCACTTCAGTGTATCTTATGTTTGCCAGTTTTTGTGCCCACATCCAACTCCTCTGTGTGTTTGTGTTCTGGGATGCAGAACACATGACTGTGTGCAAATCCAAAGGGGATGGAATTTGTGCATGGAGATTCTAATGGGAGTGCTTTAACAGGTGCTGAGGTGTTTCCATGTCTGTGCTACCAACACTCTGATGCAGGTTTTGCTGGGATGTGCAGCCTGCTGAATGCTCGAGCTTATTTTAGAGTACAAGAGTGTATTTTAGACTCCATGAGGGGAGTGTGCCATGGTTCAATTCCAACATGTTACATGATTAGAAATTACTGTAATACAGCAGGCAGGCCAATGATTATCATCTCATTAGGCCTTTCATATCACTATGCCTTTTTTATTAGCTATAAGGTTAGTGGACAAAATGTTATTTTTGTTATAAAACTAAAATGCAGTATTTGCTTTTTTGGGAGTCTCTGAGACATTGCTTAGGATGAATTCTAAAGGAATTGCTATTTACTGGAGACAGCTGGTGATTTAAGAGTACAGAACACAGGTTATGCTTTGGCATATCAGTGTTGATCATCATCTAGACAAAGCTTGTAGTAGCTCATCTTCTGCATCCAGCACAGCTACCATCATAAAAACCCAAGGATCTCTGACATACTGAATTCACGAAGCAAAGTTCTTGCCACATGTGAGCTTCTAAGGTTAAATCATGTCTATGGACTTCAACATCTCAGCTCCCAGATTTTGCCATACATCCACACTTGTGTTTGTGTAGGGTAGCTAAAAATGCTGTTTCTGCTTTAGCCTTTACCTAATAGTCTAACCATGTCTCGATTTAGAGAAAAATAGTTTTTAAAGTACTTTAAAATGATGCACTTCCAGCTTTATTGCTGCATGGCTCTGTAATTAGTATTT